ATAAAATATAAATTTAAAAGAGTTGTTCCTTTATTTGATATTTATCAAATTTTCGAAGGAGATTAGTTCTCATATGTGATAAAGAATATTCTTTAATAATAAATTATTTTTTTTTAAAGTTTAATTTTTGATCAAATAAAATTTGTAGCATATATGTTTACTTTTTGTACTTTCTATTTATATATACATTGATTAAAAAAATAAAAAATAGTAAAGATCATAAAATTGTATATATTGATTAAAAAAATCAAAATAAAGATCATAAGATTGTATACATTGATTAAAAAAAATTAAAATGGGAAAGATTGGAAGATTTATGTTCTATTTAGAATTTTTATTATAAAATATGTTTTGAAATAAATTATCATCTAAAATATATATTATATATTAAAAACATGCTTATATTATAAATAAATTAAACTTGACTTTTATACAATTTAATATATTTATTTTTATATTTTTATTAGTATTAAATTATTATAAAGTATATTTTTAGGATTGTAGTTCTAACCAAACATGTAAAAAAAATGTTTATGATAGATAAATAAGTCATATTTAGGATATCTATTTAAAAAAAGAAAAAACAAGTTAAGTCTAAATTAAATCTACTAAATTATAATATAACATAATCTGATCTAGTTTATTTTCATCTTTAATCATAATTTTAAATATAAAAACTTGTAAAAAATAATTATGATATATATTTATATCACTACGAGAATGTTTCAATTTAGAGTCGGCCAAAAGCTGACTCTAAATCATAAAAACCGTTGGCTAAGCCGTCACTAACAAATTTTTTTTTTTTTTTTTATTATCGGTTAAGCCGACACTATGTTGACACAAAATTTATTTTATTTTTTTCTTTATCTTCTTTTTTCAGCTTATCATTTATTCGTTCGTATTTTTAACATTCCTAGGACTCGATCCATGAACCTTGAGGTTTTAAGTGAACTTGATAACCAAGTGTACTAGAGCACATTATGCGTATATAACATTGAAAAAATTATCTTTATCTCTCTTAAAGCACGTATGTTGTCGGAAAAGCTGACACTATTTAAGATGTAGCGTCAGCTTTTCCGACACTAATTTAATTTAAATTTAAATTAGTATCAAAAAGCCAATGCTATATTTAAAGAATAACGTTGACTTTTTCGACGCTAAACTTAAAATAAATTTAAATTAAATATTTTAAGTTTAGCATCGAAAAAGCCGACGCTATTCTTTAAATATAGCATCAACTTTTTCGACACTATTTACGTCAGCTATTAGCCAACGCTTATTTTTTGCCGCTTATTCACCGTTTTCTTATAGTGTATTTTTAAAAGTTATATGTAAAATTTTTAATATTATAAATATATAAATAAGTATTGTTCTACTATCTAAAATTTTTGGATACAATATTGTCCCTTGGTGACATTGCGAGGCACACGATGTTGTCGAACGTTATGTAAGCATTACTCACCGGCAAAGGAAAGTCAACTCCAGTATAATGGAAGGTAATATTATGAAAATCCAAAGCGTTCAAACCCTGGTAACACAACTTGAACGGACCAAGTTCCTTATCTGGTAACCCTTAACTCTAAACCCTAAACTAAAAAAAACTCTCGTCAATGAAGTCCCATAATCAATATACATGTTTCCATTCAAAAGATCTCCGGGCGTTATCCTAATTTTGTTGACGGAAGCAGCTTCAAGGGTAGTGTAGTAAAATGGGCGAGAAGGTCTTATGATCAAAGGGATTGTGAAAACTCCTTTTCCTTTTTGTGTTGATTCGGACCCGAATATGAGTTTCCCAGAGCATTGTGACCAAAAAGGAAGTAAACAGTAGGAGAATATGCGACCAACTTAGGGGCCTACTTGTCTAGTTAGTAGTTAATGAGTAAGTTGAACTTCCGAGACCTGCTATGCCAGTGGAAGTTTTGGTTTTTCGCTTTGGGATCAAAGTATTGTTGTGTCCACATCCGAATAGGCTGGTTGGAAAGGTGTATCCTCTTTACAGGTACACTTACCAAGTTGTTCCTATCGGAACCAAAGCTAATGATATCCATACCCAATTCTCCATCAGTGAAACTCCCGTTTGCATATCCAACCTTGTACCTGGGTACAAATTAATCAATCCAAAGAACATGTAAGAAGGATTGTTGCATGGGATTGTGGAGTCATTATAAATGTACATTGTACACCATAGATGTCACAAGTGATTTGATATTTTAGTGTTTTTAGGAGGAGGGGCGACTGCTTTTATTTTGATATACCTAGGTCTGTTTCTGATTTGAAAAATTAATTAAATTTCTAAGATATTAACATATATGTAAATTAAATTGTTAAAATTTAACTTTCAACACTTGAAAAATGTCATTAAGAAACTTGTTTAAATTACTCATTTTCACACATATTCACATCGGCACTTAATTCGATAATTAGTAAATTATTTTATTTTAATTCATTTTATTTAAATCAATTTTATTATTTAATTAGAAATAGTATTAATCTGTTACGTTTCTATTAAATAAAACTTGAGAATTATAACATTTGAAACCTGGTGGATTTATAAAAATATTATTTAAAAGGTTAATATTTATGTAATGTCATAAAAATAATTACACGAA